ACCACACGCAATCTATGAACACACAAACCATAACAAGTAAAAACCTAGCTCTAGTTCTTATCTTTTTATGCCTAACTCTATATGTGCAAAACTTTATATATATCATATGAAGAATATAAAAAATTAATCTTAATTAATCCATATGAGTATTTTCATCCAAATGGGAATGGTTTGAGTAGAACTTTTATAAAAAAAAATTAAAATTTTGATAAACCATTAAAAATATTTTAAGAATGAGTCTAAATAAAAACAACAAATTAAGGATTACGACAGTTGGACTAAAATTACATAAAATTAATTGAAAGGAGTTTTTTATACCTAAAAGTGAAGTGTAACCATTGAAAATGCATATAAATATATAGTAATCATTTATACCACTTTTTCTCACGAATATTTGGAATGATTTCATTTAATGTTTGTTTGAATCTTTTGGTCTTAGGTTAGGGAACAAAAGAAAAATATTTTTACCATTTTCATAATATTGAACTTAGAGATTATTGGTGTAATAAAGAAATATAAAAAAAAATCTACAAAAGATAATCATACATGAAAAGTGTACAAAGAAAAAATCAAATAATTGATAATTTAGATTTGATTAGTTCTCACCAATTTTTATAAAATATAAATTTAATAGAATTTGTTTAATGAGTTACTTGTGTACATATAAACAGAATAATACTTTTTAATTATTTTTATGAAAAAAAAAGGGAATTTACTATCCGTTTCTCTTATATTTGTTACATTTAAATTTATTCTATTTGTAAATGATTTTTTACGTGAAAAGATTTAGTGATTTAAAGAGACATTTTTTTTTTCATTAATGAACAATTATATGATATATCATTCTGGATAAGAAGTCATATCTCATAAATTTTGCTAAGTTCAATAAAAGAATAAACAATATAACATTTCACGCTATCTTATCAATGATTTTTTTTATTAAAGAATACAATTTTACTTTACACATTTTCGTAAAAAAAATAAAATTTCATGATATAACTATACACACTCTCAGATTATTTTATGGTTTGATAAGTACCCAAGACAGTATGGGGAATATTTATCTTTAATTGATTAAAAGCATAATTAAAAATATTTTTTGTGTAAAAATGGTAGAATATGAAATTGAAAAGAATGAGAAATGTTTTTGATATAAATATAGATAAGTGGGTTTGTTGAAATGAATGAGAAAAAAAAGGGAGAAAAAGAAGGATGTAACGTAAGGAATTAGGTGTAGAGTTGAATGTTGTTGAAGGCTATAAGGAATGGCAACTGGCATGAAAGGTTCGTGGGCGTTGCCAACTTCTCAGCATGTGCATTAATATGTTGAATGACTTCTAAACCCTATCATTCCTATATATCCATAATTTTACAAGTTTTACGACAATTTCTTTTAGTTACAATGCACGTGCTTCAAACATACTTCTGAAATTTTGTGCTCTTTTGTATCAATATTTTGTTTTCTTTTTACTTAGAGATAACATGTAAACGGAATAGAGGGTGTAACACCCCTCTCAAAAACGTTACATATAATTGGATATAATAATCTGGATAGGTAATTATTCAATCAATGTATTTTAATATATATATTCAAAATTATAATTATTCTTTTCTTTCGGAGTTAGTTTTTGAATATGCACATCTATTCACTAATCTTTCATAATACTAATTCTTAAACATTACAAGGTAAAAGGTTTATTTTACAAATTTGATATGTCCATAAGATATTTTTATTTTAATATTTTTTATAATTCTTTTTTTATTTTTATTCAACCCTTTAACTATCTTTGTCTTTTAGTGTGTTGATTGATAATTAATGAAACACAGCAAAAACTCTAAAAGATATTTGAATAGAGTTTTCAAAATTTTTTAGTAAATATGTATTAAACACTTTAAATTTTTGAATTGTGTTTAGAAAAACACATATAAAGGAAAACAAATAAGACAAACTTATTTTTATATTGGTTGATTCTAACTGAGCTACTTATAGTTTTTCTTTAAGTACTCTTTAGAGGTTTCACTAATCTTTCAAAGATTACAACAAGTTTCAACACTCTTGGTTTACAACTATCCAATCTGGATATATTAGTTTACTCACTCCTAGTTCAACACTAATCTTCCTTATTATACCGTTCAGTTCAACTGAATTAAACAACTAAGTGTTTTTTTTTTATTTTTCTTTAGAATTTTACAAACACAATGAAAGTGTTTTAAAAAATGATCATTTACTTGTATTACATTTTAGAACATGCTTAAAATCATGTATATATTTTCTAAACTGAGGCATAAAAGATATTGTGAAGATTAGTCAAAGGGAGAGGTAGGGTCAGGTCTATAAATTTGTTATGGTCCTATGAACTTTAAAGTTTACTTTCTAGATATGATAGTTGTTTTCACACCAACAAATGGTATAATTCTAAGAAAAACATGATCACCAACAACGAATTTCAAAATTATTCTTCTCTAATCTACATATGATTTTTTTTATTTACTAACATAAGTCTTTAGTCTCGCTTGAATCATTATAACCTTGTTACTAGTATGTTGTAGTAAACTCAAGTCCAATCAACACACTTTTTTCATCTTGAAACCAATGCAAAAATGTATTACACTTTCTACATTATAATGTTTCACAAGGAATCATTGATTCATATAAATGATGATTTCTTAATTGTTATTATAGGTGAACTCCAAAAGTGGCAAAATTTATCCTAGTTGTCCAAATGATCCAAACTAGAAGTTCTCGATAAATCTTTTTAAACTTAGATCATTCTTTTTTATTGTCCATAAGTCTATGGATGGTAGGTTGAATTAAGTTGAAATCTAATTCCCAAAATTCTTGAAGCGTTTATGAGAATCTAGAAGTGAAACACAATTCTCTATTTGATACAATATTGGAAGGTATCTCATGCACTCTGACAACCTCACTACTTTAAATTTGTGTAATCTTTTGCATAGAAATCCTTATATTATTATAGGAAAGAAATGTACAATATTTGTCAACTAATCCATTATTTACCACACTCAATCATACTTTCTCATGGTGTGTGACAAATGGGTTGTAAAATCTTGTTGAATCAAGGACTTACCATTAGACTAAAAACTCTATAATTGATAATTAAAACACAACCTTTTTTAGTGACACTAACACTAAATTTGGTTTATGTATTTATAACTAGACCAAAAAGCTTTAATTAATAGTTAAAATGCAACTCTTTCTACTTAAAAATGTAATAGTCTAAAGTAACATAATTCGATTATAACTTGATATGTCTAACTTACATCATACGACATTTAATATCACCCGTAAAACATTCATTAATATATTATTGCACTTTCACACAAAAATACATGTTCTTAAGTCATTAATGTTCAATCTTAGACTTTTGACAAATCAAACAAACAACTACATACTTATTCACATCTTTCTTCATGTCTGTATGACTTCTTAAATTACTGATACAATTTAATTATAAAAGAATGTAAGTTGAATATATTATATCAATATCATCTAACTCTCAAAGACTAAAATAGCATTTCACTAAATTAAGATTTAAAAAATAAAATTTTTAATATGAGAACCAAAAGAATTAGTGTCCCCAATGTAAAGAACTAAAAATCTATTATAAAAGAAAAATATTAAACTATTTGTAAAATTCAAAAGAAAATTAAATACGACTTTACTATGAATAATAACATTACTTATAAAACTCTATTTTATAGGTTTGAAATTGAAACTCATACACGTTTAAAGTAGACCATTTTTTTCTCCGTAACTAAAAGAATGAAAAAAATAAAGGTTATACTTTATGATAGAAGATGATCACTCATATGGTTGATGTGAGAAAAACAAATTGCAGCGGGAGAACAATATTTTTGGGATTACTGGTGCATTAGTACCACAGATCTCGGAATTAATTCGTTCAAAACTTTACTTTTTACATTAAGATTTCACAAAAATATTAAAAATTATTTTAATCTATTTATCTTTTGATATTTTTTTCTTTCACCCGTGTGATTAGAAATGTTAAATGAGTCCATCCAAATAATTAGTTCACTTGAAAATATTTTGTTATTCTAATTTATTTTATATATTTAGTATAGTATAATTACAATTAAAATGTCATTGTTTATAGTTGTACAATCAAAGTGTTTATCTATTTTATCAAATATTATTAGAAAATAATAATTAAAAATTAAATAGATAACTTAACAAAAAAATTAATTAAATATTTAAAATATTTAAATATTATTAAATAATTTTTTAATATTTAAAAAGATGAAATTGTCAATCTATATAATTAAGAATAGTAAAAATTTAGAATAAAAAAATTATAAAAAATAATAAAAAGCTAATAAAGAGTTGGTGATAGTGAATCAGTATAAATCCCACTCGAACTCATTAAAGACACAGGTGTGAATCAAGTTTAATTTAACTTGTAATTAAAATAAATATATGTTTTTTCAATCTAATTCAACTCAAGCATGTGTGAGCTGAGTTATGCATTGAAATCCATTTTCACATTACTATTTGTCATTTATTAGTAAGCAATCACCCACCACTAATTCGGCAAGGTAATAAACTGACAATTTATATTTTCTAAGAACAAGATTCTATTTTTATTTTAAATTTTATGCACTATTTTTTATTTATTAATAGGATAACATTATAAAATTTATAATAAATAATATGTTGGTAGGCTTTTGGTACGATAACCATGCCTTTGGTGCGAATATTTTCGTAGGTTTGAAATTTGAAAATAAAATAAAAATTGTAGAGCAGCGAAGTTATCTATGTTAAATACTTGTATTTCATTGGAGTAAAAGTATGAAGCCTAAGGAGATACCTCAACATACCAAGCAAAGATAATGACAAAGAAACATTAGTTTGCATATAAGAAATTACATTTCATCAATTAATAAAAACATATTACAATTTTGCTACAGAAGTGTCATACGGAAGAGACACCATCTAGTTTTTCTATAAGTTGCTCAAACCAAAACTTCAAATGTTCAAAAACAACATAGGAAACAGTAGATACAGAAGCATGAGTCTTCTCTGTGGAAAGCTTCTTTCTCAATGGCTTATAGTCATTCTCATGTTTCAATATGTTTCTGCACTGATCCTACCCAACAATGAAACTGTGCCAGCAGTCATTGTCTTTGGGGACTCCATAGTAGATACCGGAAACAACAACTATATCTCCACTCTTGTCAAATGCAATTTCCCACCATATGGAAGAGATTTTGCCGAAGGAAATCATCCATCTGGGAGGTTCAGCAATGGCTTAGTCCCATCAGATATTATTGGTACAAATTTTTATGCTCTTAAAACATTATCTTGTACAGTTACAGAGAATGAACTCTTCAATTTCTTAACAACTTTCTTTCATTTTCAGCTGCAAAATTTGGAGTCAAGAAGTTCTTACCTCCTTATCTCGATCCAACTTTGCAGCTTCAAGATCTCCTCACTGGTGTAAGCTTTGCCTCAGGTGGGGCCGGATATGATCCTCTAACAGCCGAATTAGTGGTACATAACCATATATGCAACTTGTTCATGTTATGTTAAAGCTAATTTACTTTGGCACATCTTAAAGCTAACTTGTCTATTTTCTCCATCACAAGTCTGTGATGTCATTGTCAGATCAATTAATCATGTTCAAGGAGTATATAGACAAGATTAAAGATGCAGTTGGAGGAAACAGAACCACACAAATAGTGTCTAAGAGCGTATACATAGTGTGCATAGGAAGTGATGACATTGCCAATACTTACACTCAATCACCATTTAGGCGTGCTGAGTATGATATTCCTTCATACACTGATCTAATGGCCTCTGAAGCTTCAAAGTTCTTTGAGGTATGTTTTGGAAAAATAGATATGTAAAAGATAAACAAAAACTGTCATATAACCATGCATTTACTACGTTATAGACTCATTATATAATGGTTCATTTTTGAAGCATAAGCCATGTTACTGCCATATATAACAATCAAATCTATTCAAAACAGTATGCTAATAGTATACACAAATGCTCTACCGTACATCTTTTAAACTTTTTTGTTTTATTTATCTTTCTTATGCAGACACTTTATGGAATGGGAGCTAGAAGGATCGGAGTGTTTGGTATACCAGCTATAGGGTGTGTGCCTTCACAAAGAACAATGGCTGGAGGCTTAGATAGAGCATGTGTAGAATCTTCTAATGAAGCGGCAATGCTCTTCAATTCGAAGCTTTCTTCTCAAATGGATGCACTTGGAAAGAAGTTACCAGACGCTAGACTTGTTTACCTTGATTCTTACAATGGATTGCTAAAAATGATTAGAGATCCTGCTAAATATGGTAATCAACCATCAATCACATCTGTTATTTATCATTACATTGTTACAGTCCATTAATAATTTCAGTTTAACTCAACAGGTAACATTATATTTGTGAAACAACAGCGTGTATGAAATCATGTGACTGTTTTTGTTTTTTATGGTTGTGGTGAAGGTTTCGAAGTGACAGAGAAAGGATGCTGCGGCACAGGGAATATAGAAGTGAGCATTTTGTGCAACCGCTACATCGTAAACACATGCTCTAACTCTTCTGACTACATATTTTGGGACAGCTATCATCCAACAGAGCAGGCTTACTATGTTCTTAGTACTATAACACTTGATGAAAAAGTTAAGCAGTTCTTTTAAGGATCTACTTGGTGTAGCTTTTTTATCTATGAATTTAATTTGTCTGGTTTTATGCCTAATATGTTGTAAGAGATTGTAAGGAATGTTATGCATAAGTGTGATCATGAACGTGATTTCAAAATATTGGTAGGATTGATATGTATGGTTGCCTTGTTATGAAAGTATATTGAACTATTACTTTTATCTGTTTCTTCTACCTATTATTATTCCTGTTTGATTGGTTACTGGTTTAACATTTTTATGCATGCTGAATTGGGAAGCTGTTGAAAAAAAAATCTTTTTACTAATGAAGATAAGGTAAGGATTAACAGCATAAACAATGAAGATGCACAGTTTGGCTCTCTTACTGACAAAAACAGAGCCTTAGATTGAGCATAATTCCTGGTCTGCTTAGATGATGCTGAATCTATATTTGATTTTGTAGCTAATAGGTGTGTGTTGGGTAAACATGGTGTCAGGAGTTAGAAATGCCGCAGAAAAGGAAGTGGAAGATATCATTGTTGAAACATCAAATTGATTAAGATTCTCATGCTACTAATCGTGTACTCAAAAAAAAGCTGCTAGTTGATGTGTCTAGGACACTTTTTGTTGTGCGGGTTTAATATACATCTCCACGTTAGTAAATTATTGTCCACTTTGCGTTAAGCCCTCAGTGATTTCCTTTTGGTATCACTCCTAAAAGTTTTATGTGTATATAAACCCATGTGTATTTCATATTTTATCTTATTTGAAACTTTTTTTTGTAACCAACGCTTTTCTCCCCCGGAATGTTATACCATAGTCTGATTCATTGGACTACAGTGATTTTTCAAACTTGCATATTTATTTGCTAACGAAAAAATAACACTATTCATATAATACCGTCATAAAATAAGGTAAGTTAAGGTAAACAAATAATAACTAAATGCAAACTACTTTGCATCAAAATTTAATATTTTATACACTTAGAGTAACTTAGGTCATGTTAGACATTATTATAACTTTGACATCTCAGTCATATTCACATCTCAAAATTTATTAATTATTTGTCATTACATCAATATTTATTAAAAATAAAATAATACAAAGTATGAGAGAGTACACCAAACCCATGATAAGTTATACTTCTCGAAAGACAAGCAAATTATATCTATTATAAAAAAAAATACATGAAAAAATATTAAATCACTTATTTTGTTGTTGGTAAACCAAAACTAAGTTTTCTAACTTATCGACACAATAATTTTCTTCACAAAAAAATATAAAAAACGTTGAACTGCATATGTGTACAAAAATGTAAGTATGGACGTCATTTCTCTCTAATACTCTAGAAAACTACTTGTTAATCCAAAAAATTATGATAGACCAAAGAAGAATCAATTTTCAACCAAAGCCTTTGAAAGTATTCCTTTCAAGCATGTTCCAAATCATAAATAACTCATATAAAACTCAACATAAATAAAAATATGTACAGTTGAAAAATTACCCACATATTTACTCCAACTTCCTCTACAAATATCATCTCATAAAGCCAAACTAGGACCATTCCAAGCTACATCATCAATATCAACACCAATTAGCAAATGAATTACGTCCATAAATGAAATCTTCTTACTCTCCCTAATTTGAATATTAAAAAATTTCAACATAGACAATATTATTTATATTCTTCTTAGATTTATTTCTAATCATATGCACTAACTCCTTAATTTAAAAAGTAGTAAAAGAAAATGCAATTGGATTCTGAAATCTACTATGATTTCTCATCCTCCAAATAATCCAAATAGCTGCAATAATCACCACTTTAACTAAAGGACTACAAGGAAACTTTGTAAACTGAATAAACAAATCAAAAAAAGAACTCTAACTCCTGAGAAATGTTCTTTAACCATTCGCACAAGCGTATAACAATAGAATAATGAAAGAGAAAATGAGATAAAAACTCAACATTATTACCACACAAAGAACACATAGAGCATAAACTCACTCTTTTTTTTTCTTGAACCTCCAAATCAATAGGTAAATAACCATACAACAATTTCCAAATAACTAACTAAAGTTTTAGTGGGTGACATCTCATCCAACCAAATTAGTTCACCCAATCCACATGTTTAATACCATCATAAGAGTAAAACTTTTTGTAACTTTTTTTTATAAAACACATCAACATCGTCCAAGATCCAATTAGACACATCCTCATCTTCATTAATCATCAAAGAAGAAAAATCGAATAAACTGATAAGAGAAGAAAAGTTTCCATAAGTACTTGCCCAAACCGAACTAACAACAAACTATAACCTTACTTTATCACAATAAGAAATTTTGTGATAACTTAGGATTAACTTTATCTTATCTATTTTGTTGGCTATTATCCTAATAATACTCAAGTTACTATAGTTTAGTAATATTAATTAAATTGTGTCAACGATAACTTATCAACATGCATAAATAAGTCAGCCACAACCTAGACAAAGGGCCAATTTCATCCTATGAGTTCATTCATTATGCATTTCGAACTTCCTAGTTTGAGGGGCTTGCTTACATACCTAGCTTGACTTAATTACTTCTTTAATCTCGATAATTTGACTCATAATAAGGTTTTTCTTTTTTCTTTATTACCAGTCATTGTGATTATTATTTATTTGAAGTTTATTGGTCATTATTTCTTATGGTGCGAACTTTCGAGCTTGGGAGCTAGCATACATACCCAGCTCATCACAGAACTTAATTACATCATTAATCTTGGTAATTTGACTCACAATGAGGTTTTTTTTCTTTTATTACCAATCATTGTGACTATTATTTGTTAAGTTTATTGGTCATTATTTTCTATGGATGTGATACAGCAGTCATATAGATTCATAAATCCTATAAAAGAGGTATTCTATGAAGTATGTGCTCACTCCAAAAAAACTAACTGATACTCTCTTATAAACATTCACAGATTCCAAACATTTTTGCTAAGTTGAGTATCGAAAAGTCTTTTACATAAATATCTCCCTCTCCAAATCATCAAGGCCTACATAACACTCTCTTGAATCTTGTCACATATCTTGAAGATAAAGTCAGATCCTAACAACTCTCAATCTCCCAATATTTATATGAGAAATGATGTAAGGTTTATAAAAAAAGAATTCAAGATAACTTAGAAAAAATTATAATAAAAGAATCCTAAAGAAATGAAAAATTTATGAAAAATATAATAAAATAACTTCAATTAATATCCATTCTCAAATGTCATCTCACTTATTAATCATATCCAGTAATAATTTTATAAAGTTAATGACTAATCTATTAGAAATATTTGATTTTTAATTTTAGTGAAATACATTTTCTGTCTAGGGAGGGTTTCAACTTTAATCAGTTTTATTTCATGCCAAACCTGAAGCGGGGAAGGGTGTCAGCTTAAAGAGAGCATCTAAGATTAATTTCAAGATAGAGATCAAAGTCTAACCAGTGCTTTGTACCAGTATTATGGTATATAAAAATTATTTATACATTTGAATATCTAGTTATCTGTGTATGTATGTCTTTTTGTTGTGCTGTTTCATCTATTTGTTTTATTTTCCTGTGCAAAAGCTGGAGTCCAACCACCATGTATGCATGCGTATGCATAATTGCTGTTGGTTTCTTATCAAAGGGAAAAGTAACTAGTCATGCCTATTACCAGGCACTTTTAAGGAAGCACACTACATGTATGAACAAAGTTTCGTGAGAAACTTGAAGACTAAATCTCGTAATGCTTGAGTAACTCAGTTGCCTTGCTTAAATACCTAACACCAACAGATGCTATGGACTTCCAATCAACAAAATATGCCAAACATGAAAATCAATACTATAAATTTATTATATGGATCAAAATCTTAGAAGCAGAAGTGTGAGATTCTAGTCACATGATGATGAACCTTTCCACCCTTAAATCTCTTAATGTACGTCTTTTTGTTGTGATGTTTTACATGTTTGATGTAACAGCCAAATCACAAACAAATTACAGCAAGTTTGCAATTCCTGCTGTCATAGCTTTTGGTGATTCAATCTTGGATACTGGGAACAACGATTATATTGAAACCATAATGAAAGCAGATTTCAGACCATATGGGAGGGATTTCTTCGGAGGAAAACCCACAGGAAGGTTTAGCAATGGCAGGATCCCTTCAGACTTTTTAGGTACTTCTAACTAATGCTTTATAAAAGTGGTTTTATCTAATAAAAGAAAAATGTTATTTGTTCAACAAATCATACCAGCTAAATGTCAACTGAGAAAGAAATACTGCATGAATAACAAAAGTCCAATTTGATTTGGTCACCATATAACACTGTCATGTATGCTTAGAAATTGGCTTATAATTTCAGCTGAAAAGTTTGGAATAAAGGACACTCTGCCACCCTATCTTGATCCAACTCTGGAGACTGAAGACCTCTTAACTGGGGTATCTTTTGCCTCTGCTGGCTCTGGATATGATCCTCTAACACCAGAACTAGCAGTAATCATCACTCTGCTCAGCCACCATAATCTATTTTCTAATCTCAACATTTCAGTTTTGTTTTTCCTACAACAGCGTAACAGTTTTTTTCATTTGTGTTATATATCAGGCAGTGTTATCAGTAGAGGATCAACTGAATATGTTCAAAGATTACATAGGAAAACTGAAGGCCTATGCAGGGAAAGAAAGGACAGCTTTCATTCTAGCAGAAAGCGTATTTTTTATCAGTATGGGAAGCAATGACGTTTCAGTAACATATTTCATGTCACCATATCGGAGAAATGAGTATAATGTTGAAGAGTACACAAGTATGCTAGTCAATATATGTTCAAATTTTCTTCAGGTGTGCTTTTGATGTGAATAATATTTAAATTCAAGGCTAGGAACATGTATATTGACAATAATAACAACATATCATGATGGTATTAGAAAATTTCACAATTTGATGAAAATGTCATGAAATTTAATGGAAGGAACTGTATAAATATGGAGCAAGAAAGATTGGAGTACTGAGCCTATCTCCAATAGGATGTGTGCCACTGCAAAGAACATTAGGGGGAGGTGGAGAAAGGAATTGCGTAGAATCATTAAACCAAGCAGCCATGGTCTTCAACTCCAAGCTTTCTTCTTCAATAGAGGCTCTCAACAAAAGTCTTCCAAAAGCTAGGCTTGTTTACCTTGACAACTATAGTGAACTCAATGAAATTATCCAACACTACGACAAATTTGGTAAATTTCTTCATCTATGTTTAGCCTTGTACTCTTTATATGCCATGCCACCTTAGCCAAATTTAATGATATGCACTGCTTATACGGGTTCCATTTTCTGTATGAATAAACAGTCTGGTCTAAGCATTACACGGTATTCAGTCACAAACTAGTGAGTGTTCAGTCAAAAACTAGTGTATACTGAATTTTTTATTATTGTAATAATTAATTTAAAAATCATACAGTCAATGTTTTTTTATTATTTGATAGAGAAACATATTTTCCAAGTGTATGAAAATCTCTAAATATATTATGTGAGAATGATACGGTTGATTTCTGATGAAAATGTTTGTTTGGAGGAAGCAAATTGGCACATGAATTGATTGACTCTTATGGAACAGGATTTGAAGTGGGGGATACTGCATGCTGTGGCGTTGGAAATATTGAAGCAGGCATTCTGTGTAATTCTTTCTCCTTAAAAGTATGTGAAAATGCTACAAAATATGTATTCTGGGACAGTATTCACCCCACAGAGCGAACTTACAGTATGCTTGTCACAAGTACCATGGCAAAGAATGTTCACAAGTTTGTTTGAAAATACTTTTCCTTTTGAGCTTAATACACTGATGCAGTTAATGGATTATATATGTTGTAAAATGAGGCTCAACTATGAAAACATACTCTAGAGTTAACTTATATATGTTTTATGCTTTATTCCGAACAAAGCTACAAAACCGTAGCTCAACTATCATGAAGGCTATGGTGTGTCTTATGATTTTAGAAAAAGACAAAAGCATAATGCAATACAACGAATAGTGAAGAAAAAAATAGGTATTCATTGAAGGAAAATGGTAAGAATAGACCTTTCCATCTTTCTACATCTATTTGACACTTAATTAAATATTAATATTTTAATTCTTCTACATGATTCATCTCTAAAATGTCGTGTTTGTTTATCATGACTTTGGATTGAAAATGATTGTGTACACCAATCTTGTACCATCACATTTTGGGTGAGTTGACTCTGGAAAAAGGAAAGTCCATGTACCAGAAAATTAGAGAACATAATTAAGTTCTAAAGAGTTTCTTTTTTTTTTTATATATATTAAAGAGGGGTCAGTTTGTCTGCCTTGCCTTCATTTTTTAGGTAAAAATTCATCTTCGTCTCATACTAAATATATATCATCATTTAACGGATTCTTATCCAATAAAAAAAATGTGTTATCAAAATTATGATGATAGATAATATATTTTAATAATATAATGGAAATTTGTGAAATTAAATAACACCAATAAAAGTTAAGAGAATGAAAAATAATATGAAAAAAGAGTTTTTTAAATGAAACCAAATTAAGAGGAAGAGATATAATAATAAGTTTTCTAAATTATGAGGACAGAAATAAGAAAAGATACTTACGGAAACAAAGAATTTCTATTAAAATAGATATTGATATATTTGTACTATTTAGGAAATTGATGTGAAATACAAAATATAAGAATTAGAAGCGGAAAAATCAGGTGTTTTGAAATATTAAAATAAAGAACTTATAACAATGGACAGAAGGAAGAAAAAGGAATTTAAATTAAATCGAATTATTTTTTTCTTCAACTTATTTAGTCTTTAGTTTGAATTATGGGTTTTAGATAGGATCAATTCTTAAGCTTATGAATCGGTGCATCTTAAAAAAATTATTATTATATTTAAAAAAATTGTTTTTTTCTGAAATATATACCTCATGAATTTCAATTAACATGGAGGATTATGTGAAACAAAATTTCAGAACAATTAGTTATAAAAAAAATTTGTTGTAAATAATGTTTTGGATATCATTTGAGAAGTAACCGAAACATTCTTTCTAAACTATGGAAAACTACCAACAAAATATAGAAAATTGTGGTTTAGAGTAATAGTAAAAAGTATGGTTAGTGGTAAATAAAGTATGTGGCTGGGACCTAAATCTTTCTAGTATGTTGATTTTGTCTTTTTCAGCAACGACCACAGCACCGATTTCTTGATTTGACTCAGAGCACTACAAACACACCACGCATAGATTTTGTAGGATGGTTTTAGGTTTTACAGATAAAAGCATATTTAATAAACACGATAATTGATGAAAATAAATTCAGTTCCACCACCACAATTTCCTCTTTAATCTTCCTTCAACCCACTCTCTCCCTCAGGGACTGCCATTAAACTTAATTGGGATAAATACTCATTTTGATATTGATTGAAATAACAGCAAATTTTTATTTAATCTTAATAATTCATTGTCACATTATTTTTTATGTATTAGTGTTTGCTTCTCGACACGTGTATTGAATCCTTTAGTTAATATAAAATGATAAATGTATTGAATTCTTCAAATAATATAAAATTGTAAGTTTAAGAATGGCTTTTCAATAAATTCGCGTGATATTAAATAATTATATCATTAATAAATTATCTAGACTACAAGAATATTTATATGTGCAAAAAGATAACTTAACAAATAAATAAAATGTGATTTTGATAATTGGAGACATTTGGAAGAGGAAAAATGTTAGAAATGGAATGGAAGGGCATTGTTAAGGATATAATTCATCGGTTTCATTCACTATTGTGTGTAAAGAGAATCATCTCATCTCCATCAAACCCTAAAGTCAACCCACTAAAACACTTAAACCATAATCTTTTAGGTGGAAGAGTCTAGGTTTATTGAGTAAGAACCAAATCCTTAAACACTTAACCAGTTAACCCGCATTAAGATCTAGGGTTTAAGACAACTAATAACTCAAGTTTCATTTCTAGATATAATCTCTATTAGATTTCTTGTTTCAAGTTTAGGATTCATTATATTCTTCCAAAAACCTAACGAATCTACAAATCAAGTTATTCACGTCCTCGTTTCAAACAAACATAAGAGTAGAAACAAAAAATTAGCATAAATGGAAGAAGTACGTATATAATCAAAGCATTTACAAAGTACATGAGAGTTCACTGACTACACATGTCCCTAACCATATGAGTTTGACTCTCATTTTTATGAAGAACCTCAAATTTATAAAATGAAAAATGAAAGAAGAATGAGACATATACGATAGAAAGTCTTCTTAATATCAAAATATATATAAAAAGAAGGGATCAGAGTTATAATTTAAGAAATGTAGCTCAAAATAGGAGTATTTTAAAAAAAGATAAAAGTGAATATTTAAACAAATTCTATAAAAGAGTTTATTTTGTCACTAAAATTATCAAAATTAATTAATCTAAAAAGCCATCCCATAAAATTTTACCTGAAATAATTATCAAAATTTTCATTCAGTTAAACTAAATTGTCATTCAAATCTTATTAACTTAGTTTTGGTATATGTAAAACGGTACCGGTGTAGTCACTTAGTTTTTTATGCAATTTAAATGTTGGTATACTCTTAGTGTATTTTAAATTTGATTAACTAGATTAAGATTGAACCAAGCAAGGAATTTCATACATTATATAAAATAAAAATGATGAAAAAGACATTTAATCATTTAGCTGAGTATAACAGAATCAATGCATTGGATATACTTATACGAATCTTAAAACTCAGGAGTTAAAGAACGACAGCCGAAGCACTGCTGTGGCACATCCCAATTAAAATAATTTAGTTTGAACGATTGAGTCTGAGTTATGTCGAACAATTTAACCAGTACTTTTACGCAACCATGAAAACCTCACGTCAGCAAAATCAGTCATTTCTGTATCATTTCATTCCCAGACGTTCCACCCACCCGATTAGGCATTTAACTACAGAAAAAGTAATTTAATAAATTTCCATGAAAAGCATGATAACATACGCGCACCATCCTGCCACTCTATCATAATATTGAAGCTAAAAGAAGCAACAAGCACTTTGACAAAACTACTTGTCAATAGATTCCAACAAATTCATTGCAATCAAGCAACGATGAAGGTAATGGGGCACTACCTTTGACACTACTAATATGAAAGATCCTTCAATTGTTTCAGCATACAAACCATATACAAGTAATGATTATAATAATATTATTACTTACCACAACCATCGCTAACCCCCCGCATCTATTTAGACATATATGAAATATCCACACCACCTAGACTGCCACAAGACAGACTACAAAATTGCATTTTAACTATTCTAAAATTCACTTGAGAGTAGAGACCGAAAGAGAATATACACAGCAGAGAACATGAGTATGAGGCGGTGAGCAAAAAGAAATCCAAGACACAGTTGGCATCAGCGAAGTTTATTCTGAGCAACTGCCTGGCAAAGTTCATCTTCATAGAAGAGAACTCTATTAGAAGCCAAAGATTTGTATAGGGGCCTTGGTATAACTGATGGCATCATGCAACGCGAAGGAAAAGCTGACTCTGGGAAAAGAACAGCTGCAACCTGCCGCATCTCAGAAACTTTTAGGCGAGAAGGAGGTCGAGGCCCATGTCTCGGTGCTTTAGGCGTGTGTGGACTTGGAACTCTCACTCCCTTCCCATCACCCTTGCTGCAAAAAATCAATTAGAGTGAGATGAAAACTTGCTTATGAAACTGTATGATAAAGACATGAATATAAAACTGCAGAAAATTATTTTGTCAGAAACACCTACGACAAAAAAGGCCAATGCTCAGTAGGACGAGGAGTCATTGTGCTTAACATTTCTTGCCGAGAGCGATCTGGAGTAGTATAATTGAAGTAAAATTGCCTTGCAATCATAACCTAACAGCATTAGAAAAAGTTAGCAATTACAGAAGAAGCCAATGTACTTCAGCTAAATCATAAACAAGCATTTAAAGGAATAAATACAGAGACACGACTTACAGCTTTCCTAATTCTCTGAGAAACATGGAACACAGCTCTCAGTTGGTCATGGTGCAGGAGACACAGTATTTTAACCTCGAATTTGTCAAAGATAAGGGGTCAACATAACAGAAAAAGAAAAATAGTATGCAGTCTACCAATTAATTCTTCCTCATACAAGCTTCAACATTCAAACAAGTCAGAACAAATCACCGAAACCCACAGATACAAATACATAAAATACTGACGAGACCTAAAATTCAACATCAAAAGCAACAAAAATATGACTCAACAACCGAATGCAATCATTAACAAACCAAAGTAGAGAGTCTGCAATCATGGCCCAATAACCTCGGTTTTCAACAACATTATTCCAATTAACTTGATAAAAAAGATAATGATCTCTCTTTTCTATCCCACGCACCATTTCTCTGATTGATCTTACAAGCACACACATTAATTCGGCATGACAGAAGAAACAAAAATTCCCAAATTAGAGAAAATTTAATAAATTAGCAACTCTAGATACAAATCCATAAAAACAGTGGCAAGACATGACTAATAAAGAAAACAACAAAAATAACCCAAAACAAAAGTACAAGAAACGCATGCAAAACATTAAAATCCCAAGGCAGAATCGGAAAGTTTAGACACAACTACAGGTTAAACAAATAGGAACACAAGCATATCCTAACACATCCTTCAAATTCAAGGAAACCCAACCATCAACAAGCAACACAACACCAATCAAGAAAACAGAGTAGTATCCATGCTCATGACCCATCAACACTGGTGTTTAACCAACGGAG